TCTCCCTGCCGCTCCCAAGCCAATTTCTACCCCCATCCCAAAACTACCGCACGGTTCCTACGTGCTAGTTTCTCGTGCGTGTAATCCATGGCTTGTCGCCACTGATAATTTACACTTCGTCCCATTTCTTGGAAACAACGAAGCCAAAACGTCTGTTTTAACTTCTATGACTAAACGAAGTTTGCAGTTATGTAACTTTAAAGGCCGTTAGGACAAGCAGTGCATGATAAGAAAGATATGCAAGCGAACAGAAAACCTAAGAATCCTCAAAGAATTTCCATGTAGTTCAGAAAGTCGTGTATAATTTTGGGGTGTTTTGTGTTTCCTACAATTATAGATTCATACAAAACAGGGCAAAATCTACGATTTTATACATTATTACACATTTCTTACGGTAACAGAATGCATAATATGTTAACATACCCGCGATGGCCAGGTTAACAAAGGCCAGACTGACCGCTAACAGGACGACCTGCCCCACCGGCTCCATGTTGTTGACAGTCTGAGAACTGGTTTCCCTTGACCTGACTTGCCTTGAAAGTTATGTGCAACCTTCAGGGCTTTCTTCTTGAAGGAAACTTGGCGTTAGGCTGTTTTCAGTCTGGCAGGACGCCCGTTTTTCAAATCACATGCTTCAAAGGCGCTTTGAAGTGTGGTTCAGGGACAGTGCACTACACTGCAGTACATTAGGGGCGACCCAGTATCTTCTTCCGGTAAGGCCATGTTGATTTGATTATATGGATGACATCCACGCGCGCATGAATTTTCGGCCGTTTCCCCCCATCAAAAAAAGTTTTCAAACATAGTGTAAATCGTGCAAAACAGTTGCTAAATGAGCAAAAATATACCATAAGTTGCAAGGAAAACATTTAGAAACGATACCAATGTCGAAGAATGCCCAAAATCAAAGGAAAAAAGACAAAAATGTAAAGAAATGAATTCAAAGAGTAGATTATTCGCCATAACATATTCTGTGCCATTTGTTCAACCTTCATGACCACGTAGATTTCATAGTGAAAGCAACTTTT